GATCATATACTCCTTCGAAGGTCTCTACTTGGTAGAAAGTCCAAGAATGTGCTTTCATACTTCTGAAAGTTAAAGACATGGGTTTCACTTTTGCCCATTTGAAAATCTTTTGATTTGCAAAATTTTTGCCTCATTCCAGCGAGTATTGGCCTCAAAGTACCTCCTTGTTTCAAAGCCAGACAGAGCACTTAAAAGTACATTTCCTTTCCTCAAAAAGTAATAAAATATTCATTTGAAGGAAATCTCCCCTGACAAAATGCCTAGGATCATACTAGTGCTACCTTCAAATTATTTAACATGCTCTAAAGTTAAAGACATGGGTTTCACTTTTGCCCATTTGAAAATCTTTTGATTTGCAAAATTTTTGCATCATTCCAGCGAGTATTGGCCTCAGAGTACCTCCTTGTTTCAAAGCCAGACAGAGCACTTAAAAGTACATTTCCTTTCCTCAAAAAGTAATAAAATAGTCATTTGAAGGAAATCTCCCCTGACAAAATGCCTAGGATCAGACTAGTGCTACCTTCAAATTATTTAACATGCTCTGATTTTACTCAAATTAAGGCATAGGCTTCAGTATTCTAGTAGAATACTAGCTTCGAAGCCAACTACTTATTTCGAAGCCAAGCTGAACATGTTGAAGTATATTTCCCTCCCTTAGAAGGTAACAAGATGCTACTTTGGAGGAAACTTTCATTATAGGAGTTTAAAAAATAAAGGCCTTAATCCCATCCGGGTAAAAAATAAACAATCACATAACTGGGTCTATTTGACCCGTTAGGTTAAATGGGTAATTTGGACCAAAAAGGTATAAAGCCCCCAATTTCTCGCGCCCTTACTTAATTGTTTTCCCAGTCTTTACTTTCACTCCCATTGTTACTGACCTCAACTTCTTACCGCTCTCTTTTATTCTCCTCGCTCTTACTTCGATCCCTCATCAATGGTTTCTTCTTCTGTGAAAATACCAGTCATCGAATGCATGCGTCCCTCAGTGGCTTTGCGAAGATGCATTGTTGATGAGATAGCCAAGCATGAGGCACCAGAGGGTCAAAGTGCCATTGATGGGAGAATCTTTGTCCTTTGCCACCATGCTCAGGAAGAGTTCATTCTTGGCCCCATCTTCAAGGAAGCTCTTATTACATTTCTTCCCTTGACGTTTGGAGGATCATTACCTTCTCTACGAAGGAAGCCTCAACTGGGGAAATTAGAGGGTTAATCGACCTCACCGCTTCTGGCCCACTTTGAAGACTGAGTGGGAAGAGTGGTATGACAGGGTAATCGGAGCTTGGGAACAAGATTTGGAGGACCTCTGCATTCTCGATGCCCTTCGTCTTTCTAGGTTTGTCATTCCTGTGGACCCTTTTCTGATTCCGGCTACCCTTTGTTTCTGGAACCCTGCATTTAACTTCTTTCAATTCCAGTGTGGCATGATGGCCCCCACCGTTCTTGATATGCCCCCCAGCATTCTTGATATGCGCCATCTTCTAGGGTTTTCATTTGCTGGTGGCACCTTTGGCCCTCAAAAAGATTCTCCCATTAATGGCACTTTGACCCTCTAGTGCCTCATGCTTGGCTATCTTGTCAGCAATGCATCTCCGCAAAGCCACTAAGGGACGTATGCCTTCAATGACTGGTATTTTCACAGAAGAAGAAGAAGCCATTGATGAGGGATCGAAGTAAGAGCGAGGAGAATGAAAGAGAGGAGTAAGAAGTTGAGGTCAGCAACAATGGGAGTGAAAGTAAAGACTGGGCAAACAAATAAGTAAAGGAGCGAGAAATTGGGGGCTTTATACATTTTTGGTGCAAATTACCCATTTGTCCTAATGGGTCAAATAGACCCAAGTTATTTGATTGTTTATTTTTAACCCAGATGGGAATAAGGCCTTTATTTTTTAAACTCCTATGGGAGGGAAATATACTTCAAAATATTCAGCTTGGCTTCGAAATAAGTAGTTGGCTTTGAAAGCAGTATTCTACTAGAATAATGAAGCCTATGCCCATTTGTCCTAATGGGTCAAATAGACCCAAGTTATTTGATTGTTTATTTTTAACCCGGATGGGAATAAGGCCTTTATTTTTTAAACTCCTATGGGAGGGAAATATACTTCAAAATATTCAGCTTGGCTTCGAAATAAGTAGTTGGCTTCGAAACCAGTATTCTACTAGAATAATGAAGCCTATGCCTTAATTCGAGTAAAATCGGAGCATGTTAAACAATCCAAAGGTAGAAATAGTATGATCCTACGCATTTTGTCAAGGGAGATTTCCTTCGAAAGAATATTTTATTACTTTTTGAGGAAAGGAAATGTATTTTTACGTGCTCTATTTGGTTTCGAAACAAGGAGGTACTCCGAGGCCAATACTTGCCGGAATGATGCAAAAATTTTGCAGATCAAAAGATTTGCAAATGGGCAAAAGTGAAACCCATGCCTTTAACTTTTAGAACTATGAAAGCACATTCTTGAACTTTTTACCAAGTAGAGCCCTTCGAAAGAATATATTATCACTTTTTGAAGAAACCTTGCAGGCTTCGAGATAGATGGGATACTTCGAAGCTAATATTTGTTAATTATATGAACAAGTTGAGGGACCAAAGTCATGTACATCGGCAATTGGAAAATAGGAACCCAATTTTATTGATGTAAACATCTACAATAGAAAAGCCTATTTGGCTACATTCTCAGTTTTGTAAAAATAAGGAATAGACAAGGTTACAAGGTCATGAAACTTTGTCCAACAAAATTCAATAAATACATTTTCTTTCTCCAACCTTGCCTTTATCCTATCTAAATTTGGCTTATGTAATTGATGACCCCTTATTTGGTGAAAAAGTTGTTGGGCCCTCATTTCAAATTCTGTTTGCTTTAAGGCTTTCTCCATTTCATCTATCCCATCCATCCTACATATATCAACATCTTCTCCAAACTCTGACTCAGACTTCTTGAAATCGTCATACTCTTTAAGAAGATTTTCTGCTTCATATTGAGTTTGGATGTGAACAATAGAGATCTCTTCCAGGGATTCAAAGGTGGCCAAGGCATTTTTGTGCCAATTAAACAACAAAGGGAGCTGGTCAAGAAAGGTGGCCACTGGATTAAGATTATAGCTTCGAGAGATAATGTCACAAGCCCATAGGAAGTTCTTGTGAAGGATATCATCTTGAAGGGCTACAAAAGATAAATGAGAAAAGGCAATAAGCAAGGTCTGGGCTTTATACTGTTGATAAACTGTTGGAGGAACTGGAGCTTGGTAGGAAGCGAAATGCTGGCTTTCAAAGAGAGCAAGTTTTAATTCCTCAATCTAGTCTGGATTAGGAGGAATGAGAGGAGCACTTGGGTCCCCTCAAAAAAAAGGTGGAAACTGAGGCTCATATACACACTCAAGCCAGTCAGAAGAGCAATGCTTTGCTTTCTTGGCTAAGAGTGAGGGGCTCATTCCCAAAGCTTTGATTGGGTAAGGGGTTTTTCTGACTATTTTGGTTGACAAGGTAGAAGTATACCATGCAGAAAGCAAGTTGTCTTCAAGACAGCAAAGGCAGTCAAATAGAGTATATAGATGCACCACAAAGTTGCTCGAAGAAGGAGGAATCGCAATAGGGTCATCGAATTCAACAAGTCTGTGATAATAACTACCCCATTCTTCTATCTCCTCCATTTCATACTCCATCATCTTCCGTAACTTCCTTCAACCTCCACTTTATGCTCCATGTTCTCCACTTTGTTCTCCATCATCTTTCCATATTTCATAACTTCTCATAACCTCCAAAGGAGTAGGAGGGTGCCACATGTTCTACAATTATATAAATAATAAATAATAATAAAATTGTAGATTTATGGTGCCAACATTACCCCCTGCGGCCCTTAAAAATGATGTTTAGTTGAATTTTTGAAAGACCGAACTAAGCACATGACTAATCTGAGCAACAAATTCATCAATGGCTCATGGGGTTAAAAAACCCATTTTTAAAGAGCCAACTTATGAAAATAACATGGTTAAAAAGTATGTTGTTGAGCCACGCATGGTAAAAAATGATGTTTCATATAAGGCTCGGGAGATTAAAAAACCCATTCTTAGAAAGTAAAAACATGGAAATAACATGTTCGTGAAGGATTTTCATAAACCATTAATGGCTAAAATGAAACAACCCACTAGGCTATGAAATGATAAGAAGGATTTTCATAAACCATTAATGGCTAAAATGAAACAACCCACTAGGCTATGAAATGATAAACCTCACATAGAGGATTTTCATATGCCGTTAATGGCTAAAATAGAAAAGCAACCACATTTGTCAATGAATGATTAAAGATGATGATCAAACCACTGTTGATGGATTTAAAAATTTGACATTGGTGAAAATGAATGTTAAAAGATGATGGAGAACAAAATGGAGAACATGAAGTATGAAGTGGAGATTAAAGGAAGCTATGGAAGATTATGGAGTATGAAATGGAGGATATGGAAGAATAAGGTAGTTATTAGGTAATTTTTTTCCTACAAATATTTGCTTATAAATAACCATTCATGACTACATTGTAAAAAATCTAGAATTCAAATTAAAGACAATTGATTTCTATTTTTCTTGTCATTTATATTTCCTGCACTTAATTTTCTACACTTTATTTTATGCATTTTCTTTTCGAAGCATAGAGATAAATTAATGGTTAGTTTGATTGTTCACTCAATTATCTTTCTCCGTTTCCCTCTTTTTTTCTTTTAATTTTTCTTTTCTATACACTTGGCAATTTTGAAGTTCTCTTCGTTAAGACAAAAGAACCGTCAACACAATCGCCTGATAATTGGCTTGAATTTAATCTGTAAGAATTTTTAATCCTTGTTGGCATACTTGCATTTATGATATTTTCCTTCGTAGGAAAAATAAGCCAACAACTATATGTCATTTGAAATTAAATTTGAATCAAAATAGAAACAATAAACTCATCATGAACTATGGAACCCTGATTTATGAAAATTATAGTTTTGGGGGATTGAATTGAACAAAGGGGAAGATGAGTTATCATCTCCTGAGAGACACATTCATCTTTCTCAGTCAACTGAACAATGCCATCAAGCACAAGAACTTTCCCATATGTTGAGAACTGCAAATAAAAGAACCAGTATCAGTAGGAAATTAATAAATAAGACAATAAATGCCATAAAAACAAAAAGCAAGACATCACTGCAAAGACAGTCTACTACTAGGAGATGAAAATGCTGAACCACAAAAACCAGGATTTCTTGGTACTCTGATTTATCCGTGTACAAAATCTTCTCTACTTTCATTAAGTGCGCTTCTCCTACAAGTGAAAACTCAAATTGACTCAACCATAGCCGTCGAATAATAAATCTGGAAAAACACTGACTATTATTTCAAATAAAAAAAGACAATTTTAATTTTAATATATTTTTTTCTTCATTTAGAAGGAACACCAGAACACTCTACTCAAGCCCTTAATAATATAAGCATACGTAATTATGAACAATCAAATTTCAATTTCAATTTATCATATTACAAGCATGCCTTGCATTACATCTAATAAAAAACCATACATTCTAGCATGACTTTTTCCCCTCAAGGATATATTGACGAATTAATTATAAGTTTTCTGGCCTCTAATATGTTCCAATGCTAAAATGATTTATATAGGTGAGATAAAAACTGCAACAAAAATAACATATACCTAGCCACATTGGGTTATTGAAATAAACTCGCTTACTATCTTTACCTGTAAAAATCAAACAAAGAAGAAAAGAAAATAAAAAAACCTGTACTACAAGGAAAATAAGGATGTTGGAAAAAATGTCCAACAGAAAAAACAAAAGCTAAGAAGTATAAAAATAATGACCAGAGCATGATTCAGGTTCGGAGAACCATCCAGAAACAACTGTTGAATGGCATTTAGCCTCAAGCTCAGTGTATGGATCCTAGCCTTCAAGCAACAGGAAAGGATAATAGCCTTATCCAAATCATTCACATTGTCATTCGCCTTCCCATCCATAATCTTCGGGCATTCCAAATCTTTTCTTGTGTCGTCCTCCATATATTATCTTTTTCTTCTCTAGCTCCAGTCTCAAACCAACAGAAATGTATTGTAATGAGAAAAAATCATTGTTGTCAACAACACTGCCGAGGCATCATCAATAATGGTGTCCACAGGCACAAAGACAAAAAGGCAAATTTATTATGTGACCAATTCTTTTTGGATACAAATAAAAGTGACAAATCCTAGTAGACAAAAATAAGCAAGTTTTTCATGCGACAAATCTTTTTTTTTTTGGCTTGTTTGTCTTTTTGGATACAAATAAGCACACCCTAACAAAAGTGAGGAATCCTTTGCCTACAAAGAAAGACATTTCAGCTTCCCTTAATATTGTGATTTGTAAATGTTAAGACAAATTTTCCTTTGAAAGAACCACTAAAGCCATTTTTTTTTTCACTATGCTTTAACTCAAAAGCAATACATTGTAACCAAAGAGAAAGTATAGCAATAACAGCATTTAATACACTATCTTTTAGAAATAGAAAGCAAATTTAAACACAAGTTTACCAAATTTGTCATGTATTTTCCTAAGCAACAACAAGAATTGCAATTTAAAATCACAACAAAGGTAATAGCATTTAATACACTATATTTTTGAAATAGAAAGAAAATCTAAGCACAAGGTTACCAAATTTGTCACGTATTTGCCTAAGAAAGTACAAGAATTGCAATTTAAGCATCAACAATCACACATGCACTTGAAACTATTTCAAGTAACGAAAAAGTTAAAAGAAATCCTCTAAGACCCAAGTTAGTCCTTCCTTCCTAATGGCTTCAAAAAAAAACAAAAAAAAATCGAAACCAAGAATTTCAGAACCATGTTAAAAAATAAAATAAAACAAAAAAAATGTAGTAACAAATTTCCTTACATTTCCCGTCAAATTGAAATAGTTGAAACTTGAACAACTAAATCAATTGGATGAGAAAGCTGACGACAACGACATTAAATTTTCAATTTCTTTTCCCTTATGTTTATTTCCACAGATTTCTCGGAAACCAAATAGAGCATTAGGGTTTAACATACACACAAAAAAAGAGGAAAAAAAAAGAAAAGGTTGGGGACATAACTTACCTATGTTTCAACAGATTACAGGAAGAAAAGGAAAAATTCTTAGCAATCGCAATCACAATCTAGAGAGAGCTATAGAAAGAGAAAGAGAAGATGATGCTGAAAAGAGAGATAGAGAGAGTCTTGGAGAGAGAGAGAGAGATCATGCCTGATGTTGATGGCGATGTGGTTGATTTATATGCGTATCACTATATGTATGTGTATATATATATATATGTATATTTGTGTGTAGTGGACGGGAAAGACGAATCGAAGAGAGAGATTTGTTTCGCATTTCTCCACTGCTTCTCTCTCTCTTATCGCTTTTGCAGGGGTTTAGAAGTGCAGCTTGATTGTTTGGATGAAAATGACAAACACATATATTACAGGGAAAGACTACAATATATTTTCTCATAATTAAAGAAAAAAGAGTATAATTTTCTAATAATTAAAAAAAATTATAATCCAACACTCTCATAAAATATAATCAAATATTTCGTGAGTTATAATTAAATAATATTATAATTGAATTTTTTTTAATCATAATTAACAAAAAAAAAAAAAACATAACTAAAAATACATATGACATATCCCTTTCAAAAATGTGTATAATAGAATTTCTCATATTTATATCTCCACGAGAATGTGAAAATGAGAGGTCTTTCTTCCTAACTTCACATCCCTAATAATATTCTCTCTTTTTTTATATATTAAGAATATGAGAAACTGTGGGGATATATTTTCTGAGTACCAACACGTGGCAAGGTGACGCCGAGGTGTCAGCCGAGGTGCCACGTGTCTTGGTCGTTGTGCCTCGCCACTGCTACCGCTACCGTGGGACTTCAAATACCGCCAAAAGTTAGAGTTGAGAATGAAATAAACCCACAATAATATGGAAGAAGACTTGATTTAGGATAGGTTTCTCAAGCTAACTATTTAAATTGTAGATTTTGTTATGTCGTCGTAGATTATTTATGAAACAAAGTTGGAATAATTCAATAATTATAACTTGTGATTTTTTTAGGTTTGTATGCATTTATGAAAAAATTAAGATCAATTTGATAATTATAATTTAAGTTTTTTTTTTTATTTGTATGCAAAAAAATGAATATTTTATTTAAAAAAATTATCATTGTCTTATAAAAAAATATCACTAAAACATTTAGGAATAATTATTGGATTAATATAATTTTTTTACATTAATGTATAATTGAATAAAATGGACAGTTAAGATTGTAAAAACTGGGTTTGTGGTAGGTCTCACTACTAGAAAATTGGTTTTTTGCGACTAACTTTTTGCGACAGACTATTTCACCGTCGCAAAAAATAATATTTGCAAGCGCAAGTTCATAATTTTTTCTTTTGCTATTTATTTTGAATTTTTCTTATTCCTATGCCCTAATCCTTTTCACTCTGACTTTCCCGACAATTCACAAACAGAGATCTTTGTCACTCTCGCTCGTCATGGTCGCGCTCTCTCTCTCTCTCTCTCTCTCTCTCTCTCTCTCTCGTCCTCTCTCTCTCTAAGATTGTGATGAGAAGCAACAGACCACAATGCCGGAGCTACTAGGGTTTGATGATCAGAACTCGAGACGCCAGCCCCGATTCTGTCATCTTCACCGTCGAATCCAACTTCAACCTCTTCTCCATAGCTCACTTTTGAGATTAAACAAGGAAATGGCGTTACGAACTCTCTCGACCTCTCAATCTCGTTCTATATCTCTTTGTCTCTGTCAATCTTGCTTTCTCTCTCTGTTTCTCAATCTCCTGCTCTCTCTTTATGGTTCTTTTGAAATCTATATTTTTCATTCATTATCACTCAGATTGCCCCTTGGATTGTCCAAAATGATCTCTCTAGGGCAACACAAAATCAACATTTCTAGGTATTTCTTTCGATTAATCTCTGGCATGTTTTTTCCCCATTCTCTCTCTCTCTCTCTCTGTATATATATATATATTCTTTGAATTTTGCAACAATTTAAGCATGTACACTTTCTTCTCTTTGCAGCTAACAGTACATGAAAATTTGTTATATATATATATATATCTGTGTTCATTCATTGCTAAGTAACTTTGATTTATACCGAGATTCACATATCTTTCTGATCTGCTTTTAATTTTTGTCTATATGTCTTTACTGTAAGTTCAATAGTCATGATCGGTGATGAATTTATGTGGTTTTGCATGTATAGTAATTGGATTGGCATGTGCTCCGTTTTAATACCTGCTGAAAATTTTCGTCTGTTTTAATACCTGCTGAAAATTTGATTGAATTTTTTGCTATGTTAAATTAAATCTAAGACTTGGGCTTTCGAATTGGTCATGCTAGCAAAAAGAAACTATATTTATTTGTTATTTATTTTAGATTTTCAATCATTTGATCAAATTCTCCTAAAACCGAGCTAATTGGTACATATATATGTACCAGATCTGGTGCAATGCATGTTAAACAAATCGAACAAATTGTACTTTGCTATTCAAAACCGTTCTCTCATGTAACATTGTTTTCTGAATTGATTCAAACATTCTAATTTGCTATATTTTCTGTTAAAAACGCTTCTTGATTGATAGTTTGATTTGAATTTCTGGTGTGTTATGTTTGTTTTTGTATTGCTGTTTGTTATCTGCTCCATGAATTACTTGCTATTGATATCTTTCTTGTTTTTGAATTTTTTTTTTTTTGATTCTGTGTTTTTGGGGTTGAAGTTCATGGGAAAACGAAAGTGTATATATATATATATATCTGTGTTCATTCATTGCTAAGTAACTTTGATTTATACCGAGATTCATATATCTTTCTGATCTGCTTTTAATTTTTGTCTATATATCTTTACTGTAAGTTCAATAGTCATGATCGGTGATGGATTTATGTGGTTTTGCATGTATAGTAATTGGATTGGCATGTGCTCCATTTTAATACTTGCTGAAAATTTTCGTCTGTTTTAATACCTGCTGAAAATTTGATTGAATTTTTTGCTATGTTAAATTAAATCTAAGATTTGGGCTTTCGAATTGGTCATGCTAGCAAAAAGAAACTATATTTATTTGTTATTTATTTTAGATTTTCGATCATTTGATCAAATTCTCCTAAAACCGAACTAATTGGTACATATATATGTACCAGATCTGGTGCAATGCATGTTAAACAAATCGAACAAATTGTACTTTGGTATTCAAAACCGTTCTCTCATGTAACATTGTTTTCTGAATTGATTCAAACATTCTAATTTGCTATATTTTCTGTTAAAAACGCTTCTTGATTGATAGTTTGATTTGAATTTCTGGTGTGTTATGTTTGTTTTTGTATTGCTATTTGTTATCTGCTCCATGAATTACTTGCTATTGATATCTTTCTTGTTTTTGAATTTTTTTTTTATTCTATGTTTTTGGGGTTGAAGTTCATGGGAAAACGAAAGTGTTTCTTGGAACTTCCAAAGCGTTTTTGGACATTTATTTAAGTAGAGCAGTGGCTTTCTATCTTCTCGAGAAAACATTAGTGTGTTTCTGCATTAAATACTGATTTATATTATTATTAAAATACCGATTTATATTATTAAATTAGTGTGCTAAATTTGCTTTCTGATAGAATGAAAAGTATTGCTACACAAAGAATTTTAATTGAATACTTTGAGTTCATGGAGAGCTTTGATGATGTATCAATCAGAGGGTGCGGTTTTGGTGTGTTTGGTGCACCAGTGTTTGCTCTGTCTGCTTCCCTGCAATCTTTGTAAGTAATGAATTCCTTTACATTTGACCAATGAACTTTTACATGTAAAAGTAAAAATTGACTCTGTGGAATCAATGATGACTAAATAATCATGTTTAAGGATAGGTCTTAAATTGAATGCCAGTAACTGACATTAAATTATTCAGTCTGTAATGAACAATAATTTGTTGAGATACTAAGAATGACAACTATTGGCAAGCAAAATTCAATGGTTATTTGCAAGACACCAGTTCACAACTGTTTTTCCATCTTATCTCCCATGCTCAAACATGTTCACATTTTTTTTTTATTTTTCTTTTTCCTCCAGTTATTTTCTCAAAATTCTTGCTGAGTTAGTCATAAATCTTAGCTTGTAAACCATCAAAGGCCTCATATTATTCCCATTTTAAACATTTCTTAGTACAAAGAGCTCAGATGTATGGGAGTTGTACCACATTTTATTCAGAGAGCAGCACTGGGCATTTGTTCATTTGGCAATCACAGCCTTTGGATATTTCGCTGCCCATACTTCTTGCATTCAGCTTTGGAGATTTGTGCCACAAAATGCAGCTCTTTCATTTGATTTAGAGTCAGGGAATGAGGCAAACGAAGAGAGATTTATGTCTGAGTTGAAGACATTTCTGGAGAAGGAAATGGCTCTTTACATTTCCAGTCTTTAAATACCTGTTCTTTAAATACCTGCACTTTAAATACTCGCACTGCACTTCGATTCATAGGAGTAGCTTTAAGTAGATTCAAGTAGATTGCTGTTGTAAACCTCTCCGAGGCTGAGTTCGGACCGTTGTAAGTGTTCATTTTTATGAAATACTTCAATTGTTCTTCATATTACTGTTATTTCTCTTAATTTCTCCTAAGTCAAGCCACCAGTAAAAGTCCTCTTCATTGAGGCTGAAAAGAACTAAAACACAATCGTCTGATAATTGGTTGGCAATTATAATTTCTGTAAGGACTGATTGATCCTTGCTGGCACGCTCACATTCACAAAAATACCCTTCGAAAAGCCAAAAAGCCAACAGAGATAAAATCATAAAAATAAAAAAAATAAAAATTGCATTAAAGGTGTGAAGTGAGCATTTTTTATGGGTGAAAGTAGTTTGGTGGGAAAATAAAATTATTTAACATGAAATGACGGATATGTCTCTAGTCTAGTTAACGTGGGCAATCATTGAATATGGCTTTGGAAAGTAGTTGAGATTTAAATGTAATTTGGTGTTAAGTCACGTTAAATGTAATTTAATGGACTCTATCTATTGGAAAGTTATTGGATAACATGGTGCTCCAAAGTATTATAATTGGTGAAGAAGATAAAGTTTAAGATTTTTGTGTTGAGTGATTGAAGAACATGAAAAGATATAATAAATGATGATTAGTAAATGAATATGGACACATAGTGCTTAGAGAATACCCAATAATTTTTCCTATCTCAAACCTATCTTAATTATCCAAATTGTTTGTTTTATAAAATCAGTTGAGAAAATCAATTTATGTCAAAACTAAAGTTAATCAAATATTGACAGTTACATGATCAAATTAAATTTGTCTTAAAGATAAAAATCATAAATTTAATTTTGAGAATAAATTGCTCAAATTCAGGGTCATTTGAAAATAGGTAAAATTAGCTAAAAA